TGGGAGGAGTTGGGGGAGGGTTGGTGGGGGGTGTTTTTTGTTGTTCGTTTTGGTTTTGGTGTGGGTTTTTTTTTTTTTAAATAAAAAAGGCAACTCTGAGGATGTGTCTATTCTAATGTCGCCAGTATCAGTGGGATTGATTCATTTAACTAGGAGGGGTTAGAGCTTCCCTTTTAAAATATAGATTAGGTGTTTACAGGTTATGCTGTACAGAAGCAGAGTATTTGTGCAAAGTCTTTGACTTACAAATTGACCTTGCTCTTTCTCTTTAAGTGATATTGAAATATCGCGGTCTTGCATACCCAAGCCCATTGATCAAGTTGCAAAAGAAGTTGGCCTGCTCCCTGATGAGGTGGAGCTCTACGGCCAAACTAAAGCCAAGATTCAGCTGTCAGCTCTGAAAAGACTGGAAAACCAGCCAGATGGCAAATACGTTGTTGTTACTGGGTAGGTGCTTCCTTAACTGAGGCATCACTTACATGATGTCAAAATGAAAAGAAGTTTTATTAGTGTGGCTTGTTGTTGTCTTGTCTTTTGGTAAGGTGGCTGTACGAGGTGCTCTGGATTTTAGTAAATTGCACTGTGAAAATCTAGTGGTTTGGGAAATAGATTTATCTCCTGTGGTAAATTAGTGGGAATGTAGTTTAACGTTTCCCTTCTGGAGATGAATTGTTTTGGTCTGCAGGTCAGGATTATGAAGGGCGGACTGGATCGTAGTCAAAGTTCTCTTAGTCTAGTAGCTTGCCTTCAACAGTAACTAGCAAGTTGTTCCAGAGGAGAGTCCTTGACAGCTATGTGGTAATTTGCCAATCTTATTCCAGTCTCAAACTGTTGAAAATTAGCTGAAGTCTGAGCCACTACAGAATTTGAATTGGCGTTAACTGCAGTCGCTGGGTGACAAGTCACTTACTTATCCCTATAAGTGTCTTGAGTCTTGCCCTCTACAAGGGTTTAATTGTGTCTGTTCTGCCTTTTCACTGCAGGATAACTCCTACTCCCCTGGGAGAGGGGAAAAGCACCACCACTGTCGGTCTTGTCCAAGCCTTAGGAGCACACCTTCACCAGAATGTCTTTGCCTGTGTTCGCCAGCCTTCTCAGGGGCCCACCTTTGGTATAAAAGGTATGAGCTGTTCTGTTACTTGCAGTTGGACTAAATGGGGAAAGATGGCATTCAGAGGTTTTACTCTGCTGCGTTGTAGTTCTACATAATTCCCAGTACAATTGCATTTATTTTAAGAAAGGAAAACCCTGGGTAAGTTCTTCGGTGTTGTCTTCAAGTGCTGTGCTGGGATTTAAACTAAGCTGCACAACAGTAGCTGCCTTCTAAAGCCATTAAACAAACACATGTAATACCTTTATTTGCATGATTTGAGTATTGTCTCTCTGTAGGTGGAGCTGCAGGTGGTGGCTATTGTCAAGTTATCCCCATGGAAGAGGTAATTCGTTATACAGAGTCTCATTGCACATCCAGCTCACAGACCTTGAAGAGATACTGCAGTCAGATAACTTACAAAATCTTTTTTGTTTGTGGCCCAGTGTAGCGCTCCCAAGAACTGGGTGCTTGATTTCATCAAAGCTTTAAAAAAAAAAAAATAAAAAAATAAAAAAAAATCTTTAGTTGTTTTGGAAGGGTACGTGTGTGGTCAGGGAAATTCATAGAACTGGGAATTCCCAGTTGTTCTGTTCCCTCCCCTTCTCTGCCTTGAATTGCTGTATACCCTTGAATGAAGTACATCCTGTGCCTCTTTTTTCCCAGCACTGAAATGAAGGTGATAATGACTTAATATGTTTTGGAAGCATACTAAGTAGTTCTGTCAGCAGCAGCGGTCACCAGCTCTTTCTGTGAGCTGTTTTGGTGTACTTGTGTTTTAGATTACTAACATGAAATGGGAAAAGGGAAGTTGGGAATCAGTAATGCCAAGACCTCATCCTGTGGGGGACTGGCACTGCAGCATATTTCTGACGTGACTTGGCAACAAGTAAAATCCTGTGTCTGGGGGCAGGGAATTGAAAGGCACGTGTAGCACGTGCTCTCGTGCTTCTCTCAACTCTCAAAGTAATTGCCTGTAGAATTCTACCTTTGTCTCATGTACTATAGATTGACACAGGGCAATTTTAGGAAGAAAAGCAGAAATGATCAAAAGGGCTGTTCATTCCAATTGATGCAGCAAGTCCATAAAAAATAAAAAAGTTAAGGAGGTAGAATATTGATTTAGTCAGGTGCCAAGAACATGTGTGAATGATAGATGTGACAGGAAAAATAATCTCCTCCTCTTTGGAGTGTTAAAAAGACGAGCCAAAATACTTTACTGTGTGCAGCAGTGGGAAACAGCCCCACTCTTGGAACCAAACAGGCTGAAAGGACTTTAAGCATGACCCTCGTGGTATAAATACGCATAGTTTTGTGGGGGTGTTTTAATCAATGCGTGTCTTGTAATACTAAAGTATCTGGAGTCACTAGTTACAGTAATGACCTTGATACATCACTTGATATTTCTGCACGCAGCTTTCATCGTAGGAAAAAATTAGCAGGTGAATAGCTTTTGAGTTCATACTGTAGAACCAAGGTTCTTGCTTCTCATTGCATGTACGTAGAATGAGACAACAATTAGCATTTACTAATTAGGATTTACAATCAGTGTGTGACTAGCTGCATTCCGCTTTTAGCTATATGGTTTTCAAGACCACAGTAGCAAGGCTTCAACAAAATAGTGTCATAATGTCTTGTGTCATGCCAGCATTTCTAATGTGCCCTTTTCATCTTCCTCCTTTGCTGCTCTGCCACAGAGGAAAAGGATTGTTTTAACGACACATTTCACTTCCCTGCCATAATGCAAGTTCGTCATGCAAGCTATATCCCAAGCCATTTGTCAGTGTAGCTACAGTGCAGCCAGATAACTCATGTAGACAAACCCACTCAAACTATCTCATAATGAGATAGAACCAAGAAAACTACTAGCAGTGTCACAGTGTAGTATGTGGTCTACAAGTTCTGCCTACGATACGGTGTGTTTGAGTGGTTAGCTTATGCAGAGCTCTGTGCAACCACAGCTCTACTCCTAGCACTACACAAGGTTGCTCGTTTCAATTTAGCTCAGATATCTTTGTGGGAGCATCAGCAGCTTCAGCTAATGTATGTGTGAAACCTGTTGTGCAAATGATGAGAGTGGGTCAGAGGGAAGGTGAAGGAGGAGCAATGCAGATGTGCCATACCATGATCTTCTCAGGTGTCAAGGAGCCTGTGAGAACTGTTCTTACAAAAAAAAACAAAACAAAACAAAAAACCAAAAACCTTTTTATTTGGAAGCTTCGTTCTGGAAGTTTGTAAAATGACGTAGATGTGGGGGAGGCATTTTTGTGTTTTAGAGAAATTCTTTCCTCTCTTTCACATACTGCACTGAGCAATCTCTCCCCCTCCACCCTCACACACTTTAACATTGCTATTAATACTTCTCTTTCCATCTGTCTACAATGAATTGAAATAAATGAAAATGGCAGCAGGATGAGGTAACTGATATGTTTTATCTCCTCTAGTTTAACCTTCACCTCACTGGTGACATCCATGCTATCACTGCAGCCAACAACCTGGTTGCTGCTGCTGTCGACGCACGTATATTCCATGAGCTAACTCAGACTGACCAGGTACAATCCTTTCTTATGATGTATTTGAGCACAGCCCACTTTGGCCAAGATGTTTTGGATGTGCCAGCAGTGCTGATTAACTACCTGTTTCATTCTGCAAGGCTCTCTACAACCGTTTGGTGCCTTCTGTCGATGGTGTTAGGAAGTTCTCTGACATTCAGATCCGAAGACTACAGGTAAGTTCACTGCTTTTGCCTTGTTTTCTGGTTCTGTTCCATTTACTCATCCTTTACATAGGCAGAACTAGGATACAGAAACCCTGGGACATTCTGCTGGCGTTTATTTTTTACATGAAGTGTGCAGGAGTGTGGTAGCTCTTCTTACAGCACAGAAAAGGGAGAGATGCAGCCTCAAGAGGAAGAAGCACTCTTAACTCTCTTTACCATATGCTGTGTGAATAACACAGTGGGAAGAGGCAAATGGATTAGTGCCCTTTATTAACAGTGTCAATGCAGTGTCCTTAATGCAGTTTAAGAAAGGACCAGAATCAGTCTTTGTACCTTACACCTAGTTACAGCTAGAGACGAGTAGTTCCCACGTGGCAGCTGTATAGATAACCCAGCACATCAAAAAAAAGGCGATTTAAAAAACTCAGCAAAGAGAGAACATAAGAGAATTTTTTGTCTTATCCAGATTGACAAAATGGGGAAAAATGGAAAAAAATACCTGTCCCCTCTATTGCCCACTCCTCCTCTCCCCAAAAAAGAATTCCCAGTTGGATGAGTAGCCCTGTCGTTGAGTGGCAGTCCCTCAGCAGACCACAGCTCCCCTGATCCTCAGGAATTAAGGTGAACTAGCATGTATCCCTGACTTCTGCAAAAATGGGGATTAACAGAGGAATAGTTTTGCACTGGGTTTCGACCTTCTGTCTAGGAGGGCAGCCTGGGGCCTCCTAAACTCATTCAGATTACAAACCTGTTTGTGCAGTATTCAGGCTGGATCAGTTGCCCGTTTGGAAGTCAGGAGCAATAGTTAGACTACTTCAGAAGCTAAAACTCTGATTTATTAATGGGCTATAATGCCTCGACCATTAGAGAATGCGTGGTTTGCTTCCACTGCTGAGCAAAGAAGCTGTGTCATACTGCTTGGTGTTCCTGATGGACTGCTGAGGGAACTCTACCCTAACCACTCTTCTGGTTGTTACATGTCGAGATGTGAATGGGATGCTAATATTCCAGAAACATGATATCTTTTTTTTATGTTTGTTTGTTTATGTCTTTTTCTAAATGATGTGCTTGAAGAGGAAAAGAACAGACTTTCTTCTTCCCTGCTGTTCTTCAGGAGAAAAATACGACTTAGCTGTGTAATTATAAAAAGCTTGCTCGTTCATAAATCAACTCAATCGTTTTCCTCATTCCTCAGCTTGCGCTTGTGTCAGGCTTCTTGAGATAATTCTTCCCTCAATTAAGCAACTTGGCAAACTGCCCATCCTCTCAGTATGTTCAAGATCAGCTTTCTGGGATGCTGACAGCCTTGTGACTGAATTGTTTAATTCCTCCTTTGTGCTGCTTAACCAGCACGCCTGAAAGCAGCGTCTTTAAATACGTATGGCTGTGTGCAGTGACCCTAGGCAAACTAATGAGAAATGGATGTAAGCATGTGAGACTAATGATTAGAACAAGGCGTGTAAGGAACGGCAGAGCTCGCTCTCTTACTCTTTCTGTAGATGCCTCGCACAAAGCTGGGTGACAACCTGCCTTAATGAGCAATATTGTGTGCCTTGCCTTTTACTAACTGGCCAGCAGCAAGCTCCGCTTCCAGGTACGCACCGATACGGATCACCTTACGTTGTTGTAGGGTCTAGGAGAGGGGCACCAAAAAGGCAGCCCCTCCTTATTTCCAAATGTGCAGATGCTGCTGCCGAAGACTCGTTGCTGTAGTAAAAGGTTAATTTCTGTGAATCTTTCCATTATACCTTATTTTCTTTTATTTGTCCTTTCCTCCCACAGAAATTGGGCATTAACAAAACTGATCCTACGACTTTGACAAAGGAAGAAGTAAACTTATTTGTGAGATTGGACATTGACCCAGGTGCCATAACGTGGCAAAGAGGTACAAGAGTCATTAAATGAAAGAATTACTAAGAAACAAAATGTGTGGGTTTGTTGTGGAAAACAAAAGAGAGGTTTGCAAGTGCATCAGGAACTGTGTTTCCTGGGCAAAACGGGAGTGAGGGCAGGGCTAGCCTTTCCTTCTGAGTGTTTGGTGGGATAGATGCTTGCAGCTGGAATCCCATTTCTAAAGGCTCTGATGCAGGGGCTTGGGTCTGAATTCACAAAGATTAAGACTTCACTAATTGATGCAAGTTTGTGTTTCTGGATTTGTCAGTCAGTGAGAAAGTGGAGTTTGGCAATTGTAGCCAACAGCCTTTTTACCTGACTGAGAAGGCTTTGTGAGCAAGGAGAGGGTTCTGCTCTGGGATTAAACTCGTTTTTAATCTGCCCACTTGCCCTGTTGGTGACTGGCAGCAAATAAAGGCCAGATTTTTAAAAGGCTTTTAAAGATACCTGAAGCTAAAACCAATCTCTGGTCTGGCAGATTTAATATTTCATTAACGAAAGAAATTTCAAATACGGACTTTTTTTCTGATTTAGACCCCAAGAGTATTGCTCTTTCTTCTTTTCATAAAAATACAGCGTGAAATGTATTCTCCAAAATCTGCTTCATAATCTGTAATGGGCCTAAAGTAGTCTGTGTCATGGGAAATATTTTATAAAATACTTACAACTTTTCAAGCAGATATTAAGATACAGCAAATTTAAGCCAGTAGTTGATGGTTTGTGTTTCCAAGGTAATTGGTTAATGGGGTTGTGTGAAACTATGCTCTCTAAATGTTAGAATCTGAACATTTTATCACTTAAAAAATATAATTTTATTTGGTTTTGGCGCTAATAATTTCCTGACTTCACATGGACTCACAATGGTGAAAAAGCAATTGGAACGATACTAGCAGCTCTGCTTTTCAGAGAGGCTTTGGACTTGTGGTTAATGCACACGAAGAGAGGTAGACTCCCTCTGGATGCAGTGCAATGTCTGCGTGTGACTGGGCATCTTGACTTTGTTGCAGTTCAGTTTTGGGGAAGAATCACATTTTGTAGCACTTGCCCTTCTTTAGGAGAGGATGGTATCTCAAACTGCCATCCTCTCTTCATTGATAATCTAGCTGAGTGTTTGTAATAGGGCGTAGATGTGACTTCTGACTTGGAACATGACTTCTCCTCTTTCTCGCTGCCTTGCTTACAGTACTGGATACAAATGACAGGTTCCTTAGGAAAATCACTATTGGACAGTCTCCGACAGAAAAAGGCTTCTCACGAACGGTAACTGTTCCCTTCTCTTGCATGTTTTTAAAAGTACTTTGAAAAATGTGGTCCTAAAGCAAGTTTCTGTAACTCCAACTATTCCCATGTTTTACCAGTACCTTGTTAAAAAGAAAGCAGAAAGTCCCTTCAGCCAAGCAGTTGGATTCGCTGCCAGTGCAGTACTTAGTTTTATTGTCTGTTCCCTCCTTCCCTGTTCTCTCCTGAACGTTGGCATCCCAAACTGGGATGGCTGTGGCATAATAACAGTGGTACACAAGATGCATGGCAATGGCTAATCTTCGCCACTGCAGATGCTTTGGGTGGGATGTATCTGCCCAAAATGAGACACAGTATCTCAGCTTGTTCTCCAGATTCATTATATAATCAATAGAGTAAAATAGGCAATCTGGGCTGTGACTCCTCTCATCCCTTAAGTAACTGTCAAATTAATAGTTCAAATTAATTGTGCTCAGAAAAGCTTCTCTCTGTTGACTTGAAATGTCCCTAGGGGTGCTTAGCTTTGATGGACATGTCTGTGTTATGTCAGATGAATTCTACCCTTCGTTTCTTATAGAACCTGCATTTTTTTTGGTCATTTACTGTACTGTTTAGTGATAGTCAGGTGAGTTAGTAAGTTCCGTCTTCAAAAACATAATTTGTTAGTGTTAAGCGTGATTCTTACATGAATCACTAATATATGTGCCAGGATAGAGTCATGTAATAGCAATGGAATAAGTAGCTTTTACTTAATTTGCAGGAAAAAATCCAGTTTAAAATGGCCAAATTAAATGAAGTATGTTCTGAGAGTAGTGCTTCGGATTTCGTTTACATTTGTATGTCTGGGGTTTTCTTGGCTTGTTTTTGTTATGGTGGTGATGATTGGCCTTGTTTCAAGAGTTTAGCAGAGGTAAGGATTGCTGCTAGGGAACCTTGATGTGTTCACATTCTTTATATATCTCTTGCAGGCTCAGTTTGACATCACGGTGAGCAGTGAAATCATGGCAGTTCTAGCACTCTCTGATGGGTTGGATGATATGAAAAAGCGACTGGGCAGAATGGTAGTAGCTTCCAGCAAGAGAGGAGAGCCAGTTACAGCAGATGACCTTGTAAGAGAATCATCCGGTTCTTAAATGCTTTTTTTTCTATTGTTTCTGAAAGTCCTTGGATTGAAAAGCATAGAGACGGTTCTGTACAGAGAAGACCTTACCATATAGAAGATCAAAGCTGAAGTCTTAGCCCCTGGAGTTAATGAAGGTTTTTACTTCAGTGTGGCTAGCACCTTACCCAGAGAGTGTCTGTGTGCATGTGACCTGGGCAGGGACAAAGGGTCCTGTGTGATGTGCTGTGTGACAAGCTGAAGTTAGCACCATAGGCATTAATGGGGAAATACATGGTGGCTTCAAGATAAAAAGCGTATTTGCGAGTCGGAAGAACTCGACATACATCCTGCTGGACATCCTGTTTCCCAGGCTCCCTGCAGCAAGGAAAACATTAAGCAGGAACAAAGCCTGGTGCAAATTTAATTATAGATGTTGAAATAATCTTATTCTGGGAGGCTGTGAATGCCATGAAAGCCAAACCCTTTGCAAAAAGTGCAAGGTCTCCATAATGCAGCCTTTGATGAGGGACACAAATCCTTTATGTCCACTGCATGAAATGCTGAATGTAGTAGCACTGGTGATGTCTATTACCAGTATGTAAAGCAGTCCTAAGCAGCAGTTGCAAGCTGCAGCACTGTCTTGCAACTGTCCATAAAATAATTATTAGTACAGTTCTTGGCATGGTTGTGGAGTGTGTCAGCTAGCACTCTCCCAAGTGGTGCTTCAGCGTGGTTTCAGGGGACTAGCCTGTGCCCCAGACATTTCTTCCAGTAAGTATTTTGAAGATGGCAACCCTGTTCAGAGAAGGGAAAGGGAACTGAGCCGTGTGTGAGCTGTGCCCTGCTGTTTGGCCTTAAGACAGAGAACAGGCTCAGGACTGTTGCACTAGTCAATAGAGATACCATGTTGGTGCTTACTGCTGTCCTGTATAGTAGGTACTTCACAGCCTGCTTTGCAAAAGACAGGAGTATTACAAATTTGCATGATGTACTGTTAATGAGGTTTGTCCTGCATTTTCTGAATGAACATTTCCAGTGGGACAGAAGAATCCACAGGGTGGATATCCTGACCTGTGTTTCCAGCAAGGCAGGATACACTACTGAGGCTTACCCAGCTCCTTGCTATCTTGCTGTGGGTTTGTTTGTTTTCCTGTGTGTTTGGAGGGGCTTTTTGTTTGTTTTACTTACTCCCAGGATAAGCCGAAGAAACAGTAGATCAGCAATGTGGCCTGACTGGCCTCACAGAAGGGCTAGGCTGGGAACTATGTGTCTATAAATGTCCTTATGTGAGACAATTGTTGGGAGTGAGGGAGGGCATGTGCCAAAGTTCTGTAGGCAGCTTTGAGATTTTAATTCCTACTGCTAGCGTGCTGCCAGTTTAACCTTAAGTACCTGAGTTAAACCCTGTTTGGAAAACAGGAGACTCTCCTGCTGCCCATCAGCAGTGGAGGCAGATAGTGCTTGGGTAGGGAGTTGCTTTGAGTTTTATGTAGAGTCCAGGTGGTTGAAGTCTTTCATCTCAAGATTTTTATTTTAATCTAATTATATTTAATTTTGTCCATTGCAACTGCAGAACGGAGGATGGTATCGGACCTGTCCAACAGGTTCTCCTGAATGTTATATGTTTGCACTGATGGCAGCCATTGGCTTGCACCACGAGGACTGTATTAGGTACTCCTCATTGCAGGCAGAAACACCGTGATTGCAGAGACCAGCCTGGCACAATAAGATATCTGGGTCCTTCTGCTGTGGTATATAACCAATGCCATGAGTTACCAATATCCAACCAATAGCCAACAATGCTACCAGGATTCGCAAAGAAACTAGAAAGAAATGTGGAATCAAAAACTGACTACAGGTTTTTGGAGATACTATGTATTGAAGTGACACCGGCCTGGAATGTCGCCATGGAAATCTTGCTCTGTAGTTTTCGTTATTCTGGAGATGACTGAAGTTTAAAGCTTATCCATTAAATGTTAAATAAGTAATGAAACTAATGAAACGAAGCAGTGAATGTCTTTTTTAAAAAAATCTTTCATGTAATTGAGTGCTGCAATCCAGTTGAAATTAAAAGGGAAGGAAAAAAAAATTATGATTCAAGGTTTTCATAACTGCTGTGAACGTTTGGCTCAGTACCCATGACAGCAATTCCAGTTACTTTAGCAAATGCTGGGTAACAGCTGGTTTGGTTTCCACTGGACTATGTCAGTCACAAGGATGACCAAACCCTCATTTTCTCTTCCCAAAGCAGATGTGGATGAAATCGCTTTGCAAGAAGCAGAATTGCAGCAGGGTATATTGCTGCATCTCAGAGGAAACACTGGCTCCAGTGTTTGCCTTTTACGTTTCGTGAGCGCAGAGGTTCACTTTAAAAGTTATTTCTGCAGAAGACACTTGAGCACGATGTAGCAGCTTGTTATGACATTTTAAGGCCAGTGCGTAGAGCCTAGTTGCTGAAATGAGGGAGGGAAAAAGTCCAAGACAAATCTACTGGCAAAACCTAAGAATATTGATTTGTGCCACTGAATAGGCAACAGTAAACCCTATGTAACTAAGGGTTACTGTCTCACTGCTGTCGTTTACTAACCTTGCTATAGCACTGAAACAGCAGTTGTTCTTTTTGCCTTCACTACAAAGTGATGGCCAAGCAAGGTCACCACCAAGAGGCTGTCCCCAGCAGAAATCACAGATCCTCATACAAGAACGTAAAGGTCATTATTGTGCCTTGCCCTGACTAGAGTTAGTTATATCCAGAGCAGCTCCTGATTCTGGTCCCAAAAGCTCCCCAGGACAAAAGCAGAGCCTTGATACTGCAGAGGAACTGTCTCGAGGTCTTGGTACATCTGGAAACTGATTGCCCTTTTTTTTTCTTTTAGGGAGTGACTGGTGCTCTGGCTGTCTTGATGAAAGATGCTATTAAACCAAATCTCATGCAGACACTAGAGGTGAGCACAGATGATTTGCTATATGTGCGTTCTCAGCCAAGAAGCAACCCTTTTAGTTCATTCATCACAGTCAGCAGTGGACTTACTCGTCTTAGAGTTGGAGGTTTACTGTGGTTTCCTACCTGAGGTTCAAGTCTAGGGGAGAATGCTTGCTTCTTTCTAGGTCTGCCATTGGCATGTGGGGTGACCCTGAGGGTGCGCTAAATCTTGCTGTGTCTCTGTTCTGTTGGCTTTAATGCTGGGAGGCATTTTGGGAATCTAAATGGTGTGGATGCAGGAGGATGGCAAAGAGTTGCTGGGATTTAACCATCCTTTTCGTAAGCGGATTAGTATCTCCACTTGTGCAGATTATTATAATCCTGTTTGCCCTCTAGTCCTTATTACTGATAACAAATCTTTGATCATAAGGCTTTAGGATCGGTCTTCTAAAAGTGTTTATCTTCAGGTACTGTAATACTTAGCTCCTGAAATGCTGCAGATTTGCTAAATTGTACCCTCTGATTTTCCTTTTCTCTCTCTCTCTCCCACCCCCTCGCCTTTTTCTAGGGAACTCCAGTGTTCGTTCATGCTGGACCTTTTGCCAATATTGCACATGGGAATTCTTCAGTGTTGGCAGACAAAATAGCACTGAAGCTTGTGGGTAAAGAGGGTTTTGTTGGTAAGTCTGCGGGTTGTGGTTTTCTGTTTGCTTTTTGTTTGTTTGTTTTGCAGGGAGGGAGATGCCTTTTTTATCATGACTGTCTGCTCTTTGTCTTGGAAGAAGCTTCTGATTTATATAACTAGAGCATGATTTCTCCACCCAGCAACCTCTCACAAGCTTCTTTTCTTTTAATTCCTACTGTAGTTACAGAAGCAGGATTTGGTGCAGACATTGGCATGGAGAAATTCTTTAATATTAAGTGTCGCTATTCTGGTCTCCGGCCTCATGCAGTGGTGCTGGTTGCTACTGTCCGAGCTCTGAAAATGCACGGAGGAGGGCCTGCAGTAAGTATAGGCAAGGTTTTCTTTAGGCCTGAGGGGCTGTTGTCCTGCTCCAGTCACTTGAGCCCTGTAGGGTTTGATCTGCTTGACATTGTCTTGAGATTTTCAGCTGTCAAAAGAATCCATATGTCCCTGCTGCTTGTAAGCTGCTTCATTGTAGTATGTTACAAGTACATACCTGCTTGTTTTATTGCCTTAGTGAAGCACTTGTATGCTGGGGCACTTGTGGCGCTACTACGGTCAGTCATTTGTTATATTGTGAGCACATCTTGCATTTATTCTTCCTTTTATTTTTTGCTTGGAAAAAAGGATTAGCCTGGAGTAAAATGTGCTGTTTAGTAATTGCACAAATTGCTGTCACGGATAAAAATCTTACAGGGTTCCATCTTTTTTCCTTTTTTTTCCCAGGTCACTGCTGGGGTACCTTTACCGAAGGAGTACATGGAAGAGGTAACCTCCTTTAGCTGTTGTGACAGTTGACCAGCTAACTGTGGTTATAGCACAATATTGTCATGCAGTGCACGCCTGGATAGCTGGTGTGACATTTCTTTAGCTGCCAGGGAAATGCTGTAATGTTCCTTTTTTTTCTTCTTTTCCTTTTTTCTTTCTTAATGACGTTACTTTGGCTCTGCTCTTTTAAGCGTTTAGTGTACTTGACCTAGCCAGTATTCAGAGCCTTCTTGTTTCTCCTGAGCTCGTGCAATTGTCTGTGCGCTCAATTTTTCATAGTAATATCTACTCTGTGTCCCTTGACCCCTCTCAGTGTGGAGTAATTGCTTGGCTGAAATATTGTCTCTGAAAATAGTCAGAGTGCCTCTATAATTACTCTCTTCTTACCAGCAGCAGTTTCTAGTTATATTGCCCCCCACACCTCCTTTGCAAGCAGAGAGGAAAGTCTCAGCTTCTATCCTTGTGCCTTGCATGGTTGTGTACACTTGGATAATTGGTCTGGAGCTTTTTTGCTTGTACAGCTTCTGTATGGATTATTCTTTTCAAAGGAAGGGATGAAATGTCTGAATTTTCATGGATAGTCTCTGATGTTGAGATATGTAAATATGCGTAAACCAAAAGCTGTTGCCACAGACTTCAAACAAGTGTCATGAAATTCACTGCTAGTGGTATTTAATACATAAAGAGGGATGTGTCAGAGGCAAAAATGAGGCTTTACTGTGGGGAGTTAATGAGCATGGGTACTGACTTACTAAGAATAACAAAAAAAAAAACCAACCCACCGATAAAAAGCAATTTCTCTTGCCTTGACTTGGCAGCTGAAACCAGTGACGATTAGCAGTAGTCGTTCCTTTTCTGTCTTCCATCTGAGAGCAGGCACTGGTCTGAGCTGTTCACAAAGCATCACTGAGGATTTGCCTTTGTGGTTTCATTCCCACGTTGGCAGTTTTATCATGAGCAGTGGACGTAGTGTATTTGGAACAAGAGTTTCACCACCCCTGATAAAACGTGCTTCCTGCTTGCTGTCTTGTTTACAGAATCTCCAATTGTTGGCAAAAGGCTGTAGTAACCTAAACAAGCAAATCCAAAATGCACGGATGTTTGGTGTCCCAGTAGTAGTGGCTGTCAATGCTTTCAAGTAAGTGAGATGGCATGTGGAAGTGATGCATGGGTATAAAATTGTGGCACTCTGTGTGCCGTGTTTAACACAAACTCATCTTCAGCACTGTCGATGTATTGTTTGCAGCATTTTGCATTGTTGGAAGATGCTGAATAAATAGGGGAGCCCTGCTTAGTCATTTGAAATGCACTCCTTAGCTTAGGACTTTATGATCAGTGACTATTATCTTACACCTTGACTGGCTAAATTACTGTGGACAAAAGGTGCCTGTGATGATGTGGAATCTAAGCTCATAATAGATGGCGAGGTGCCTGTGCTGTTGACCACACTGTGTTCAGTGGTCTGCTATATGGAATAATTATGCTCTGCTAAGAAGCATTTTGGGCTCTGCGTGTCGTACTGCCCAGGAAATAGAATCTGTGTGGTCTCTTTATGCAAGCAGAAGGATCATAGAATCATTAGGTTGGAAGAGACCTCTAAGATCATCAAGTCCAACCGTTGACCTAGTACCCCCATGCCCACTAAACCATGTCTACAAGTGCTACATCAACACGTTTTTTGAACACCTCCAGGGATGGTGACTCCACCACTTCCCTGGGCAGCGTGTGCCAATGTTTGACCACTCTTTTGGTAAAGAAATCTTTCCTAATGTCCAATCTAAACCTCCCCTGGTGCAACTTGAGCCCATTTCCTCTTGTGCTATCGCTTGTTACTTGGGAGAAGAGAGCTTTGAACTGGTGTGTTAAAGCTGATGCCAGTTGAAGCAGAGTAGCTAGCTGAGGATTCTCCATCTAAAGTAAATGTATATTGGCTGATTTAGAGAAATTATGGGGTTTAGCTTGTTGGTGCACATGATATAGCACCTCTAAATCAGCAATGCTAATACCTTTTTGAGTTTGCTTCTGAAAACAGGAGTTGTATTGTCAATACAGGACAGATAGGACAGAACACTGCCTGTCAGGAGTCATGGGTTTCTGCTTGTAGTTCCAGAGCTACCTGTTGCTGTCTGTTCTTTTGTGGAGTGGCTTCCTTCACCAAGGCGGAGAAGGCTGTGGTGGGTGGCCCCTCAGCAGCTTCCTGATGGCTGGATTCTGTGATTTCTTTGGACAGCTTTTGGATGTTGTCAACAAGAGTGAAAAATGGCTAGAACAAACAGTTCACTTACTTGGTGTGCATTCTTGTACAAATGCGCAAACGTTTCTCCTTGCAGAACAGATACAAAGGCTGAACTGGCCCTTGTAGTACAACTGGCAAAGGAAGCAGGAGCGTTCGATGCTGTGGAGTGCACTCACTGGGCAGAGGGAGGTAGAGGAGCAGTTGCGCTGGCCCGAGCTGTTCAGCGAGCATCGCAGACACCCAGCAACTTCAGGTTCCTCTATAACGTGGAGGTGAGAACTTGCAGTTTGTTTATAAGGTGGAGCCCAGTCGTTTTCACTAGCTTGAGTTGCTGAAGGCCGTCTGAAAGGCCGCTCTGAGAAACTGAGAAGAAATTTGGATTTAGAACGTAACACTTATTCCACCAGTCTCAAAGACCTGGTTAGTCAGTTCTTGTCATTTTGACTACCCAGTTGTCTTGGTTTGAAAGACAGGTG